AAATTTGTTTTAATTATATTATTAAAAATTTATTTTAATTTTATTATAAAATATTTGTAATTGATTATTGTTTTAAAATGGTGTTTTTAGTCATTTTACAAAATTATAAAGAAGTTTTTATCAAATATAATTCATTTATTAGCTAACTTATCAGCTAATTTGTCAATCATAACCTAAAAGCTGAACTTTTTAAATGTAACAGATCAACTGTATTTAATGTTTTTCTCAATACCAAGATTAAAGGTTGCAAAATGCTCATTAAGCTTTTTTTTTATTTGGTATTTGCTTAAAAAATATTTCTTCAATTCTCACGAACAATAATTGTATTGTGATTTCTAAAGACTGGTCGATGGCTACACAAAACTGTTGCTAGGAGCCGTTTTCAACATTTATTTTCTTTATATTGTTTACGTCTTTTTTTTTCCCAAAACAATTATTTCTTAAAATATAAATAATATTTTTTTAATCCCAAAATTAGTGTTCATAATGAAAATTATGCACAGTTTTAGATACATATAGTTATTACGTTTTTGGGTTGGGTTACAGTGAAAATGAGATTTATGATGAGAAGGGTAAAAATAATCTTTACATTTGGTTCAATTATAATTAAAAATAACTATTAGATCAACATTAATGAGATACACTACGTCAGTTCACTTTTACATGCATTGATTATTTTGCAATCGAAAGTGACCAAAGATTCAAATCTCTTATTACATTTCTCTAACTTAATTGATATTCTCAATTTAACTGATACTCTCACATGTTACTTTGTCTTAGGGGGCATTTGGGATTGCTTATTTGAAACACCTTATTATTTTTTACAAAAGCATTTATCAACTTATTATAAATCAGAAGGATTTAACTTCTTCAGAAACTCTTTATTATCAGTTTGGTACCGGTATAAGTTATTTATCCAAACACTTAAAAATGGTTATTACCGATACCACACAAAAATAAATCAATAAATTATTTTTATAAGCAATCTCAAACACCCACCTAGTTTCTCCGTATCAAAATAAGTAACTACAAATATAAATATAATATTTGTTTTAGTAATTATTTTTGGATCTTGTTTTGTGTGAATTTTTACGCGCGTAATTTCCATCATCCGTACTATATAAAGGAATGACGGTTGTTTTTTATCTTATCTTTTCCTCCATTTCACTTGACGTTTCACATAATCCAGAGAACCTTTTTCTACGCGTTTCTCTCTCCTAAAACCCTAGAATCTCTCCAAAAGCTTCTAGTATTTCCCTCTTCTTCACCGGATTCGCTATATGGATGATCAGAACAGTGCCGATCCAGTCACCGGAGGATTCTCCACGGACTCTACCTGGACGCTCCACGGCGATTACGGCTTCTTCGGAATCAACGATACTAGAGAGAATAGCATATTGAGCGAGTTCGGATGGAACTTCCAGCAACCACAGCCGGAATTCGATCGGATCGATTCTGGAGGTTGTTGTGGTGTGCCGGAGGATACTAATCCTACTACTAGTGCGGTTGCGGTTCAGACTCAGGCCGGATCCGTTGAAAACACAGGGGATGTATCCATGTCAAATCCTTTGGTTTCCTCCAGTTCATCTGAGGATCGGCCGGACTCTTCCGCAGCTTCATGTGATGTCGCTTCTAGTGGTAAACCGCCATCGTCGGAGACAGGGTGAGTTAGTGGTAGTGGTATTACTAGGGGCAGCGGAACCTACCATACAATAGACGTTTTTACTCACGTGTCTTTTTATATATAATATATATATATATTATTATATATATATTTGTAACCATATACAGTGCGAGTCTAGATTGTTTTTTCTTCAAATTTGAAAATTGAAATTTACGGAGATTTCATTTCAGAACTTGCAATCATTTTACATATGTTTTCTGCAAATGATATATGAAAAGAATAAGCGCTGAATTTTTTGAAAAAGAAATTTTTCTAAAGTTAAAAGTATTTATTAATTTAAACGAATACGAAAGCCGTGTCCGTACTCGTTATGTAGCGGGCACCCACCACGTTGTTTGATAGCCATTAACAAAAGCTGTTTACGCAAGTTGCTATGGCATTTCTGTGAATTATAGGAGTCAATGGTCTTTCTTTTCCACTACTAGTAAGCGTGAACACCGCCGCTATTGCGGCGGAAATGGCGTGGGTCTGGCGTTGGCGTGCTGTTTATGGTATCGCTTTTCCACATAAAATGACGGCAGAGAATCGGTGCATATGATTGATTTTCTGAAACTTACCGATTTTGAAAACAAAAAAAGGTTTCTTTCTACGAAGTATTATTTTGTGTTCTTTTTTGCTTTTTTAACTATTATGACTGACAGACAAGACCCGTAAGAATGCACAAAAGTTGCTCGATGAAATGCATCTGAATCTACTCGTAGAAGTGTTTGTTGCCATGTATTATTAACTCGATTAAATTTTGCTTCCTACTTTCTAATTAATGAGTTTTAAATTCCGAAAATCATCTGTTTGATTCATTCCCCTTACACTGCAAGCACAATCTTAAATTCAGTTTAAAGGCCTTTGCATTTAATGTTCTGCTGTTTTTTTTTTTTCCCTTCAGTATCCGTAAATGTCTTTGTATGAATTCTCCACAGTTGCAGTGTATAGATAGTTAAGAAACTCGTTTCATTTGGTTTAACAAATAGATTTTTAGTTAAATAAATCTAAAAACAGGATCCTCTATCCAGTTTTCCTAAGGTCGTAGCTGGTTTGCTGTATGAACCATGAAGTTAGATTTAGTTTTTAGTTGAAGTTTTTTTGAATATTTTATGACGCATGTCTTATCACAAAAGTTGCTTGAAATGATTTACAGGGGTAAGGTTAAAAAGAAGGGGACAAAAAGAATCCGGCAACAACGTTTTGCATTCATGACTAAGAGTGAAATTGATCACCTTGAAGATGGTTACAGATGGAGAAAATATGGGCAGAAAGCTGTTAAAAATAGCCCTTTTCCTAGGTTGTATACAACTCCCTCCTAAAAGTCATTCTAATGATACAAAAGATATTAAATGTTCATATTTACTTTAGCTAGAATTGATACAAAAATTTGCCCTACTTAAGCATAGTATGATCATTGCTAAATTAAGACTTACTCCTCAACCATAATAAAGAGTAAAATTTTGTGTCATCCATCATACTCTAATTTGTATGCATATCGAAGGTAAGAAGGGGATGTTAAAGAAAAGTTCATACATGAATCCTTTGAAAAAATTTATTTGAAGATCTATATGTGAACCGAGGTTGCAAATGAATCATATGGGTTTGCATATGCATCTTCAAATGAATTTTTTTAATGATTCGCATATGAAAGGTTATTTAACCTTTTTTCTTTATCTTCTAACAATATTTAGCTTTTTTATTTGAACCCTCACCGTATATCTATATGTATACCATACTTTGATACAACTTATAGCTTGCTTTATTTTAGGTAACTTCCTAAAGTGATCATTAATTACTATATGTTATATCAAGACGGGGTGAAAACAATTTAGAGAAACACAATGTTTTAAAGAGGATTATAGTTTCAATTATCAAATTACGCCCAACATATATACTTCCCCCTTATTTTCTAAATGTATTCCCTTCTTTCAACACTTGTTTTGAAGGAGCTATTACCGCTGCACAAATAGCAAATGCACTGTGAAGAAAAGAGTTGAGCGTTCATCGACAGATCCTACAACTGTAATTACTACATATGAAGGCCAACATTGTCACCACACTGTAGGGTTCCCAAGAGGACTGATCAGTCATGAAGGTGCCTATGCAAGACAGTTGGCCCCTCCTTCAACGTTGCAGCAGTTCAATTATCTGAGAGCTAACTTGCCACGAGTGGGTGATCATCTTGGTGCCTCTCAGTCACAGCCACAAGTAGTAGTTAGTGAAACTGGTGATCACAGTTCTCACAGAAAGCCTCAAGCATCCTTTCAAGATTCTCGTGTTGATCAAGGGTTGCTTGGGGATATCGTGCCTCCAATAATGCGCAATAGATGATATTAAGGTACGTTTATGCTAACTTTCAAAACTTTTAAATCTGAGTTGTTAGTTGTTTGTTTTTACTATTGAAGTTTCTTTATTAGAGTTAGTTTCAGGATGTAAAATGTACGATTGCTTTCTCCTAAATTGTTGGACGCGGATAATAGCCTTACCTGAACATGTTTTAAATAGTACTGCACTAATCCACATAGGAGTCCTTGATGATTTTCTCTTCTAGCAATAGTTTGGCCAACACTAGTAGACGACCATTTGACAAGATAGGAGTCGGTTAAAGCGTAAGACCATACTAAGCTCAACCAAGAGTACATATTGGTTCCTGTAGAGAAATCCCTTGGGGGTCATTGGGAACTCTGATAATTAGATTGTGCTCCTGTTGCACAGCCATAGACCCATGATGGTACGCTGGACAAATTGTGCCTTATAAACTATAGTTGTAAACATGTGCATTACATTCTCCGCCTAAAGCGGCGTGGTACTTCCTTTGTTTCGTAATAAGCACAATAACTTCTATTTAGATGAAAGTTTGTGAACAAGTAACAGATAGTCCCCACTTCCAAAGTAAATGTTCTCCTGAGGTTTTTATATTGTTATAAATTGTAAAAATATTATAGGTTTTTCAACGTCTTAGCGATACTTGTTTATTTACTTGGAATAATCATAGCATTGGACATATTTGACCACATTAACTATGAGGGTCAATGCAAAACTTCATTTCCGCATGGACCTAGAAAACATTAAGACTTCTAGTTAACCATTATGGCTCGCAAAAAGTGGATAAAAACTTTACGAGTTAAACATTATACCTCTTCAAACTATATATATCTGCGCCTCGGTTTCCTTAGCAATATTTATATCTTGTAATTTGTTTTGTTTATAACATTTAACTCGAAGTTCAGGGAGATTTTCACTTTCACATTGATAAATATCTATCCATAGTCATAAATTTAAGCTATAATAAGATAACTTAATTAAAATGCTTCTAGTAATTGGTTAATGAATTAATTGCATTATTGGAGAATATCTGGAGTTCTAGACAGTCAGTTGGGGTAATTTGTATATTAAAATGATGTATTGGTTCAATGGTTCTTGACATCATATTTTGCGAATAAAGCTAGTTAATTTGTTATAGAATAGATGGATGCTTATCTAGGTGCCCGATGTTTTTACTTGTGCATGGGATTTCATAATCAAGTTGTTTTTCGTCATGCATTAATTATATCCTCTAAGCTAGGACCGACTAGTTTAGGGTTGTGAATATATGCACATGAGTTTACACCCAAAATTTCTTAAGATGATGATATAATTAACTTACTCTTGGCATTTAATATACATCTTTGTCATCTAAAGATATATACTCTAGAGCTTGTACTGCTAGCAGTAGTCATCAAGATGCATGCACCTTTCAGTAGCCTACCAAAACGGATGGTCCTTGGTCTACAGTCGATATGGTCCACCTGGTCCTATGAAATTGATTGATAATGATTATAAATAGTAATATAGTATCATGCATTATTTTTATTTTAAAGAAAGACAAATAGAGAGAGAACTAAATTCCTACCAGATTATGAAGATTGAACTTAAATATCAAGTTAAATATTTTATAAATGATAAATATATGGTTGGTTTCATCATACTAATTATAAGTTATCATCCAACTTGCATGGAAATTTGACCCACGAAATCAAGCCTTCATCCATGCTTCTTTTTTTCTGATTTTTATTTCCGATAATGAGTTCTTTTAGCATCAATATGCTTTGATTCGAAACCTTGATTACTAACATGGTATATTAGGCCCTTTGATGGTCAATCCATTAGTCACATAGTGCGCTTGTTATCTTTAGTCATAAAAAACTTGTATAATGTTCTTGCTTTGCTAACAATTTTGTGGTCTACTCTTTATCATGCTTTGCTTTTAAGTAATTTTTAAATATTTTACCCCCCCCCCCCCCCCAAAAAAGGGTGCACCTGTCAGGAACCCAGATTTAGTGGTTTTTTAGTAGGAAGTGATATCATTTTCAAAGATATAGACGATTCCCTTTTCTAGAAGAAAGATGATTACTGTAGTGGAAGAGCACCAGTACCATATACTGATGCCTCTTATTATAATCCCCTTCAAAACGCATGCAGCTGATGCTTTGTCAGAAAAAGACGGTTATATATATATACATATGTTATTTGCATATGGGATTGTTATTCATATCTCTTCTCACTCACATACCCTATAGAGAGGGGGTATGAAATAAAATTAAAGGCTTGTATACAGATATTCATTCATAATCATACATACATGAAAAGTGGTGTGTATATATATATATATATATATATATATATGCTAAAAGTTAGTTTTAAATCAAGATAATTGAGCTCATTTTAGAAGCCAATTATTTAGTTTTCCATGTGACTTGTCTGCTTCTACATCTGCTTTTTGGTAGCTACTCTTGTGCTCAAAGAGTTAATTCTCAATTCTCAAGTCTCTTCATCATAGATACTCCCACTTTGGTCCACGTGCTCTAAATTCCTTTGTTTGTTAGCTGAATTAGGCTTTTCAGGTTCAGAAAAGAAGAAAAGTAACTGAAACTTAATTTTATTATGTCCTTGCTAGCAGTAATTATTGTCACAAGAACTGTTTTCATCTTTTACAATGGTAAAACATGCATTTAATTTGTTCAACTTTAGCAATAATGGAAGAACAACTTCAAAGACAGTAGTAGTCCATAAATTTTGATCATCCTAGGATAGTACAAAGATCATATCATTCAACCTTGTGGGATTAACTCAACTGACAATAAGTCTTGGGTCTTTGTGGATTCTCCTAAAAGGCCACCGGTTCGAGTTCTACAAGGTCACTGGGGATTTTTTTAGGTGTTCTCCAGGGCCTTTGGAATTAGTCAAAGTGCATGCAAGCTGCTTCAGACACTCACTGTTAACAAAAAGAAAGAAAAAGATCATATCATTCTTTTTTCTAGTTTGTTCAACTTTAGCAATAATGGAGTTTATTCTTTGTATGTGTGCTTGTGTTCATAAATATAGGTTACAACCAATCTGGGGCTAAATGCCTTGTAGGAAAACTTATCTTTTTGGCATGTTATCGGCTTAACTAATTCTTTTCTTTTCCTTACGTTTTCATCTTCATTTTTTTTTGCTGGATGGGGTTCTCACAGAAGACGAAATAATGTACACTGATGAATAATTAATTTGATTACGTCTTGCATCTTTGATCACTTGAAGCATCTTTAACAACTATGTTAATTAGAGATTTTGAAGATTTATGAGCTTTATAATTGTTTAAGTAATAAGATATATAATTTGCATGATAATGGATAGATAATCATACACTGCAATTTCTCATTATAAGTTAGAATGATTTAACTTCTTAAAAAACTTATTATAAGTTAGAATGATTTAACTTCTTAAAAAACTTCTTATTACCGGTTTGACACCGGTATAAGCTATTTATCTAAACACTCAAAAGTGATTATTATCGATGTCATACCAAAATAAGTCAATAAGTTGTTTTTATAAGCAATCTCAAACACCCTTTTAATCTTAGTTTTGAGCAATACCTATAATTAATTATTTTATTTTTTAATTTTTCATTTAGTTTAATTGTATATCTGTTCGATAGAAAGAAAATGAGATAACATGTTTTAATTGGTTTGCTTATACATAAAACATGCCATATATGACATTGGTTATGTTCAAGTTGGTTGTCGCTTCATATGTATTATCATGTGTAATAAGAGTGTTCTTGTGTTTTCATAAAATAAAGCATTTTCGTTTGAAACTCAGAAGTAGATAATGACATGCAAGCTGCAATCTAATGATGAACAATTCTTATGCTTTTGTTACAGTTCACAAATGGTGAATTAAGATCACATTTCACGTCATCCACCGAAATCTACTCGCTATTTTCCAGGTAATTACAAGTGCAAACTTTTGATGGAGATAACTTAGCGACTAAAAAAATTATAAGTCATCTACTAAATTGTTTATTCATTCTTATCAAGTGGCTAACCTTCTCTCTACGTTAGTTTTCACTTTTAAAATCATTATAACTCTGTTGTTGTTCATTAATTGATCATAATATTATAGTCTTCAAAATATATTTTGTATATGTAATAATTTCTAATATAACTTTTGGACAGAAAAGTCTTAGTGTTTGATTCATCTTAACACAACAAAATATTCAAAGATGCACAAAATTAAGCCAATATAATTTTCTTGACTTATTGTTTGTGGCTTCTATACTAATTATTTGGTTTCATGTACATGTATTGACATAAATATTTTATCATGTGACATGACTAATTATTAATGTATTTGGGAGTGCTACTTAATTATTGTGACAACAATTATACAAACTTAAAAACCAGTTTTCATATGTTGTTTAACATGCGTAAAAATGCAATATTCATAGAGTATTGTTTTGTATTCAAGACGTTCATTGCTATTTTATATGGAAAAAACATGTTCTAAATATTGCAAATTTGAAATAAAAATGTTGTATTTTTATGCATGAAAAATGGTTTGTAAGTTTATACGAGTTACTAATTTTGTAAAAAGTGACTCCTGCTCTCTCTCGATATTTATATTATATATATATATATATATATATCACTCACACTCTTTTTTTTTTGTCTCTTTCTCTCTCTATCTCCCTCTATATATATATATATATATATATATATATATATATATGTGTGTGTGTGTGTGTGTGTGTGTTTGTATCTATATAAGGAAAAGTTTATTTGAGAAGTAAGAAGTGATCTTAGTCCTTTATTTGGTAAACACTTGCGGCTTTAACCGTGAAACCTCGTATAATTTCTCGCATAAATATGCATAAGATAGAGGGTAGTTTCATAACTTTTACAAATAAACGACAAAATGGGTTCATATGGGAACCTATGTGATACACATTAATTATATGTTCATATGTGAACCTGATAATTAGTTCACATTTGAACTATTTAACTGATTCATATATGAACATTCACAAGTTAATTAGTTCATATGTGAATTATAAACGTTCATATGTAGATCATACGGGTTCTTATGTGAATTACATGAGTTCACAAATAAACATATAGTTCATATGTGAATCATATAGGTTCATATGTGAATCCGTTTGTCGTCTATTTGTAAAAGTTACGAAACTATTATCTCTATTTTTCAAATAGATGCAATTTTTTATCAGTCAAAGCCGTAATTATTGACTAGTCGATCTTGACCGTATAAAGGGCTAAGATCATTTATTTATTTCTCCAAATAATTTTTGGTTACACACACACACACACATATATATATATATATATATAGAGAGAGAGAGAGAGAGAGACAGTTGGGTTCAAACGATGATGGTGACCAAATAAGATAGCACAGGAAAGAACAATTCACACTAAAATTATGTGTAAAATTATATGTGATTTCTGCATCCTTGTTTGCAACCAAGTCGACTATACAATCCTTGTGTTGACTATGTTTTGTAAATTTTATGTGATTTGACCTTTTTTTTGTTATTTAATTTAATTTTATTCTCATGTAAGTGTGTGTGTAATATATATATATATATATATATATATATATATATATATATATATATATATATATGTGTGTGTGTGTGTGTGTGTTTTTGTTTGTTTGTGTAGTCGCATGTCTGCCCTTAGATATCCACACTCAACACAACCTCATTGGACTTTGGTTAGATTTTTGGGAGGAAAAAAAATTAGGCCGAATATATCCTTATATATTACTAAATATATTTTTATATGTTAATTTTTTTTACATAAATTAATATTAAAATCTAGTTTTTATTATATTTATAGTATATTATTTAATCTGATTTTAATATAAAAAAAAAATTATGAAAAAAAGGTACCAACCCTAAGGCATAGGTCTACACTAGCACCTAGTCGTAGTTGTTTAAGGGTCATGGTTCTATACTTTACAAGCCTGCTTCTATGTGCCACATATGTAGCTATTTCTCTTACACTTTTACTTCTTGCTACTTTGTTGGATTAACCACCAATGAGATGACAATAGTTTATATATTTACATAACAATTAGTTTTAAGATAAATGTAGTATGTTTTTAAATAAGATTTGTACTTCTCCAACTATTATTACAAAATACTATTCCCTCCCTTTCAATCAATTTTATTAAAAATTTGAATATGTTTTCAATATCTGTTCCCAATATTTCTGTATTTCATTTACATATTATGACCGTCATAATAAAATCCTCTTGTGTATGGATTCGATCAACTGGTTTATAAAATTCAAACTCTATGTGCTTCTTTATATCTTGAGTTTTTATGAATATATGAACATATTTAGTTCCAAATAGTCTATACTCCTAAAGTTTAGCAAATGTTAGAAATATTTTTCAAGTTTCAAACGTTGCAACATCCACGTGTGCATGCCTCTTCAGTTGTATTCATGGTTTGTTTTGTGTTGAGCATCTTGTGGGTTTCCTGTGTTGCATACCTAACCGATGGTAACGTGTGGGTTTGTGGATGTCTCTTTTCATCATGCGGAGTTAGAACATTAGTATTACATAAGCTTTAATTTGCATTGAAGATTGACTTAAGAACACGAAAATTATCAAGGGTCATATATCGGGTATCATTTATCCTATCAGTGAATGGTGATCATGACAAGGACAAAGAATTACCTGATAAAAAGTATTACAATTACTGCAAACCTTACATGATAAGTCTAGAAAAAAATATTTTTACCCATTTACCACATAATTAAAAAAAAATATTTACCCACAATCGATTTTGAAAGCAGAAAATATGATCAATAAATGAGGATAACAATAGCTGCTCTCTAAACATTGAAAACAACCTCGTAAATAAAATATTAAAAGCTCAAGTAATTCATTTCTATCACCCATAGAATCAGTATTATAATAATTAATTTTTTAAATTTTTTTATTGGATGGTAAATAATTAAAAGGTGGAATGGTTGCATGAAATGATTGGGGGTATGATGGGGATAGGTAGTGTGTAGGTGGTGTGTTAGAAGTGTCGATATTGGGTGGATTTCGATGTTGCTTCAAATATGTGTCAGCCGACAGTATAGATTCCTCCAGTCTTTTTTACCATCATGCCGACACCTTCTTTTTTACCCTTTCTGTTTTACAAATATCACCTTTTTATATTTAACTAATTAATTATCGAATATAAATTAAAATAATCATTTTTACACTTTATATTTATTTTATTGTTATTTATTACTCAATATCAGGGCCGTCCCTGGGGGAGGGCGGGACGGACGTACGTCCAGGGCCTATAAAAATTAGGGGCCCAAATTTTTTTAAATATATATAATAATAGTTCAAAAAAATTAGTAAAAAGAAGACACAAAAAAAATAGTATCTAATATGATAAGAAAAGATTTTGGTACTACATTAACTATTAAAGACCCAAACATGTATGAATTAAATATATTGAAGAAAAAAAATACATAAAGAGGTTAATTTGTCGTTCATTATATAATATTATTTAATGTTTTTTTAAGTTCTTTTTATCTAAAACCGACGTCTAAAAGTATATGCTTCAAAAACTTTGATATATTATTCATAATTTATATCTCATCGACTCTTTTGATTGTTCCATTCTTGTGTGAATTCTATTTTTATATTAGAATATGATAGATTTTCTTGTTATTAGCTAACAAAAACCCCTATCTTTTGAAAATATTACCAACCATTCAAAACAGTACAACTTATATTTATATTTAGAATAATAAAAACTATAATTGTTTTTTTCATAGTTATTCTTTATTATCTAATATTGAGTGTATAAATCGTATGTACTATTTTATATCTAAAATAAGAGTAAAATCTTAAACTATCACCAACATGAATTTTTTAATTTATATAATTGATAATTATAGAAAAGTTTGTTTTAACCCTAACCCTATGTTTTTGAATCTCTTTTACGTAGGAAAGAGAGGAAAACAATAGGGGAAGAAAAATATTTTGTTTTCAAGATTTTTTGAGGGAAGGGAAAAAAATTATATCAAATTTTATTTTTATTTCATTATTTTTCCTTCCGTTCTCTTCTCTATTAAAAATACAAATAAAAAACTTTATTTTTCTTCCTTCCTTTCTTTTATTTTTCTTTTTCTTTTCCTTTTTGATTTTTTTCTTTCCTTCCCAAATTCGAAAACATAATATAAAAGCTTAAAATGGTATTAATCTTCCTAAATTTGAAAACATTATATAAAAGTTTAAAATGATGTTAATCTTCCCAAATTCGAAAACATAATATAAAAGTTTAAAATGATGTTAAAAAACATTAACATTGGGACATGGAAAACCAACCTATTTACATTGGTTTACATAGTGTCACTCGGAAATCAGAAGAATTGACTTTGTGACCTCAAATGATGTCATTCTATGTACCAAAAGTATATCATAGAATGTTTTTGATGATGAAACAAATTACCGATACTACATAAAAATGTTCTAGTAAATAACATTAATTTAGAAATGAGTACTGGTTGATTTTGCGTCCAGAAATACTCGGAAAAACGATTTTATAGGAATTCATTGTTATTTCTGATGATAAAAACAATATATTGAAAAAATATCGTACTTATCGAGGGCCCCTTTTTACTTCTCGCCCAGGGCCTAAAAAATGTCAGGAACGAGCCTGCTCAATATATTTTAGAACTGTCATTAGATTTGAAAGTAGCACCTCTATAATTTCCGGAGGACACCTTTATAATCTATGAAGGAGTCAAAGTGTAAAAAAAGTTTATGAACTAGGTCCGTGAGTACAGGGACCAAATCTATAAATTATTTCTGACATTATGTAAAGTGGACAAAGTGGCACTGTGGACCTTTATCTAGTTTAGAGATTTGGTCCATACACTTGCGGATGTGGCTCAAAAATATATTTTTTTTACAATTTGACCCCTCCACAAATTGAAAAGGTGTCACTTGCGGACCTAGTGATTTTTTAAATTTTGGGAAGAGAAATGGTTTAGAAATGAATCCAAAGTCTGAAAATGTTTTTTTCTTTTAATTTCCGTGAAACAAAATATATAACATATAAATTTTTATTTCCTTCGTCTCAAAATAAATGTTCAAAATAAAATACAAGAGTTTTAAAAAAGTATAATTATTATACATTTTAATCATGGACAAGAGGAGAATTATATGT